TCCTTGCTACCTGAATACAGTTTCGACTTTTGTCATTAATTTCATTTCCTATTTTACATTTTTCTTTTCCTAAATCTTTCTCATTCATTTTAAGAGATAGAATTAATGTACAAATTACAAATAACACTTTCAGAAAAACTGTCAGACTGGGCCTTGGATACCAACCAGTCTAGGAGAAGGACAACTGAGTTCAAAACCAGTTAGGTGTAGGGCTGGCAACTCCTCCCCATAAAAACCTACTTCCTACAGAAACCATAGCAACAACATCTAGAGTGATGAAGCTGTGACATTATTCTTCATAAAAGAGTGACACTAAGGAGGATGAGAAAGCATGGAACAAATAAGAACAAAGTGGGAGTAATATAGCAGATAAATCTCTTCAGCTGTAGGTCTTTTAATGGCCAAGATGATATATTTGTTTTTATATAGCATAACAAGTTCACATAGTGTAGGATGGGGGTTTAACTTTCATATAAATTTAGCTTTTCATTCCAAATTCCTCTAATCTAATTTGAAGGCTGCAGAACATACCACTATTAGGTTTCAGCAAATTTGATAGATTCTACAGAGCATTAATTTCACACATCTATTCAAACAGATAATATATTTTATTGTACATGTGTAAATATTTTAAAATTGCATGAATACATTCAGTAACTCTTCAGTTATTTTTTGTGATTGTTCTTAACATAGATTTAACAAGTGCAATAAGTTACATATGTAAGGTAAGGACAGATGCACTATACCTAGTCTCTCTTTCTTGAATTAACATCTTTTCAATAACACAAAAGGCACAATTTGTTGTGTATAAGGTATACTTACCCACTTTTTTAATTCAAATGACATCATAATTTTAAAGTCTCCTTTATTCATTGTACTCTTTTGATCTTTTAATAAAATGAAGCTTCTCATGCTGGGTGTCCAGAAAGGTCACTCTGCATCATACTCATTATCTATTGCTCATAATGCCTTCTTACTGTGAAGAGATAATTAATTCATATTGTTCTTGATTTGAACCAAACAACAAACTCAATAATTTTATTCAAAAATGTTATTTTTGTTCATAAAAAATATGCAGACAGATATACTTGGCTGAGTCATAAGTAATTTCTGTTTTTGTTTATCAACTTCACTCTTCAAAAAATAAATTACAATATTTTATTCAATCATATACTCACCTATTGGAATTATATCCTATATATATTTTTCAAACAATAAAATCCCTTAAGAAGATTTGTTGGAATAACAATACTTACAAGGGCAAATACTGCCAAAATACTTGCAGACATAGTTGTAGATCTACCACACATTATTTTTGGAGCATTTAGAAAATAACAATAACTCTCTTCAACACTCCCAAAAATTCAACAAAAAGAATTTATCAGCTAGTATGAAATTATTTTTTAACCAGTGAAAACCTTGGATTCAAAAAAAGGCCATACTTCTATGTGAAATTAGATTTAGAATCCCCTTAAGGATATAAAAATAGAAGCCTAATGCTTCTTGGGGCTCAAACCAATTTGGGAAGTTAGTTTGATCTGCATGTGCATGTACATAATGGAAGAGAGACACTCAGCAGCCATTGACTAAGGCTTTGTCAATACACACAATAGAAGGGATTAACCAGCTACCATCAAATAAAACTTTTGTCTACAAACAGATTAGGCCAACTGTCATAAAGTAAGTTTGTTTGCATATTTCACACTATACTAAGAATACTTAACTACTTTATAAGACAAAATTCACTGCAAGGAAAATTGAACATTTTATTGCTGCTGTATATTTCTGAAAAGAATATATAAATGTTATTTCAACTGATGTTCAGCTTTTACTTTTCCTTCAGTGAATAACCTTTTTTTATGTTTCATTTAAAAGGTATGTAATTGTTGTTAAATATTTGGAATCCCAATACTCAGATATCAACAAAAACCTGGGTAGGCAGTTCCAAACACACCATTGTTTGAAATGACTTGTTGCGACTTATGAAACAGCTCTTTGATACATTTTGAGTAAAATTCTGTAGGTTTTGATGGGAAAGTTTTCAACTGTTGGATATGATTTTCATAAGAGAAAGTCGAACAGAAACAACCAATTCCAAAATTCCTGCATTATTCTTGCTGCATGCAGGTTTCTGCAACAGCATAGAAGAGAACAATATTTTTGCTATTGATAAATATGGTGTTCTTTTCAGCAAACTTTTATGGACATATTGCAACTGCTGAACATATAAATGTTCAATTAGAGTTCTATTGTGTTTTAAGTACTTTAAGTGAATAATACCCCTGTACAGTAAGGGGTCATGGTTCAATGTCATAGCACAAGCACATTATTACTAAATCATTGAGCCATCAAATAAGGCCTTCATTTAATTCAAAGGGAAATTATACTGAAAAATTTAGTTTATATTATGATGTAATATATAGTGCAGTAGTTTTAGTGTGATTTTCAATAACTAATGAAAATTTAAATAATGTTGTCTTATAATTTGTGCACAGCAGTATTACAGTGTTATATACACTAATCTATTTCTTTTTAATTATGATCTTAATTGGTCTCACAAATCTCATTGAGTAGCCTTTTTGTAATCATTTACATTTTTTCTTTTTTACTGTTTTTAGTTATCTAATATAGTAAAAAGATTGTATATATTTGCTTGATTCATAATTAGAATTCTGGTTTGAATATATATTTTCCATTTAGCAACTAATACAAAAGATATTAACTTTATTTGGATCTATTCTTGAAGTCGTCAAATTTTGAAGTCAGTTTGTAAGAAAAAAAAATCTTCAGAAATTAGTTATTTCTGTACATTTTTTTCAGACAGTCTTTAAACGGAAATGCTCAAAAGTTGGTGAAATATAATTTATGAATTTAATTGTTGGTGACAGTACTTATCACATCAAATTCCAGCTTTTACATTGAGTGCAAAGTTGATTTTTTTTAAGTTACAAATCAACCTGCTTTATATATATATATATATATATATATATATATATATATATATATATATATATATATATATATAGGGTATGTGATATAAAAACTACTGAAGTGATGAAGTAAATGAAAAATAGGTTGCTTGGAACTTTGAATGGTTTTTATTGCATTTCAAATATGAGATTTGAATTTGCTGAAATCAGACTTAATACTAATCTACTCATTAATGACATTCATAAAATAATTTGAACTTGCCAAAGTTTGCATGATCATTCTGAATATCATGCTAATATCCTTTGAAAGATTAAAAATATAACAATAACTGTTAGTTCAATACACTGAAATCTGAGGTGCAGATGGAAGTACAAAATTATATTTGTTAAAAGAAAATTGAATAAATGATCTAATTTGGATGAAGCTATATTTTGCCATAGTAATGGTGAGATTAACCATTTCCATACAGGAAACATTTGACATTCACTGAATGAACAGTTAGTGTTACTGTCAAGTGAAATTTATAAAATCTTCCTCTTAAAAAAAGATTTTCAGGTAAATAAGCTTCTCAAGTCTATTGTTATCACTCTTTCAGCTAATGATGGAAGTTTTCTTCCTAACCTTTTATTTTTGTTGTGTGGCAAGCTAACATTTTGCTATCCATATTGGTTGTTGCTGCTGTTGGAAGTCTTCATTTTTTTTTTTTATTTGGTAATGTTCTTCCTTTATGATTTTGAAGTGCCAGTCTATTGGGTCTCATGAAGGATTATTCACTTGAAGCCATTTTTAATTATTGATCTGAGAAAATGGTTGTATATAGCTGATAATTTTAAAAATTCTCAAATTGCATGCCATGCATGACATTCATATGAAAATCTCAATTTGGCATGGCTATTTAACAATATGATTTGATTTTCAGATTAACATTTTGGTTTTGTTAGTCTAAAATACTCTAAGTGCAATTTATCCCATGTTCAGTCCCACTTCTCTCCTATACTAAATTTCTTATAATTGATCTATACACCAAAGTATTTAAAGTTTATCAGTTCCACTTGCTGGACTTTCTATGACGGATTCTATACCATCACTACTCTCATTCCAATTCCATATCACAGATTCTATTTTGGAAAAATTTATCTGGAGTCCCATTTGTTGGAAAACTTGGTAAAGAATATTTGTTGGTCAAGACCATATCATTATTATATCTTTAGTTTCTCTTAAATGCCATGCCTATTTTTGTTGTTCTTGATGCTGGAAGTCTTCAAGTCATGTAGTTTTTGTTATTTTTGGAAAAACTCTTTTTGTAGCAACAGTCTATCAGGTTTGATGAAGGATTGTCTTCTTTAAGACCTAAAGGAGTCATTCACTTAAAGCCATTTTTAATCATTAATCTGAGGAAACGGTTTTTAGATAGATGATATTTTGGACTTTTCTCACAGCATTAGATGACATCCATAACATCCATATGAAAGTCTAGATCTGATGAGGTTATTTAAGAATATAATTGTAGACTTCAAGTTAATATTTTGGTTTTCTAGCATCTTACAGTGATGGATGAAAGTAGCCTGAGTGCAACCTATCCTGTGTTCAATTCCCTTCTCTTCTATACTAAATTTGTAAAACTTGATCCATGCATTAAGGTATTTAAATATTTAGAATTTATTAATTCCACTTTGTGCATTTTTATAATGGATTCTGGTTATGCACCATTTCTATTTTCATTTCAGTTCCAGATCATAGTTTCTGTTTTGGGAAGGTTTATTGTAAGTGCAGAATTTTGAAACGGAAGATTGGCAATATCTGTACTTGAAATAGAAGGCTTGTCAGCAGTGTCTTAAATAGCTAAATGGATATCCTGGTGCACAGGATTCAAATGTGATAAATGTAAGAAAATAAGTTTCAGTTCAGCTCATTTTGAATAATTATTTTTAATGGCTGATGTTAAATTTATTAGATCTCTTGATCAGTGATCTTTTCTCTTTTTGTTTTTTTTGTTTTTTTTTTTGAGTTGCAAAAGGTATTTTCTATCTTTTGCTTCACTTCTTGGTGATTTATTTCTGTCTAGAGTTGATGGCCATGTCATGTTGAAACACCAGTTCTTGTACAATCACCAAAGTTAAGCAACATTGAGCCTGATCAATACCTAGATTGGTGACTGCTTAGGAATATCAGGTGCTGTAAGATTGGATGTATAGATGGTGTAATGGATAACAGCTTGGAATTGGAAATCAGAGAACCAAGTTCCAATTCCAGTCGAGTTTATGATATTCACTTATACACAAATATCCTTGGGAAAAATATGAATCCACACCTTCTCCCCCCAGCTATGGGTTAATTAGTAGGATTTGTATCAGTAAATCATTATTATCATACAAAAATTCTTACAATTCAAAAATATTTTCTGGATTTAATTAAGATAAAAGGTTGATAATCTGTAAAATATATATATATATATATACCTGAATAATTCAGTAGCCTAATGATGAAAAAATATTTATTTTACACCACAAATTGTTATTCCATCTATTCTTCCATTCCATCTATTCTTCCATGGGCCCATAGGTTTTATATAGATAACATTTTAGACATTTCTCACAGAGTTAGATAATATGCATAACATCCATATGAAAGTCAAGATCTGATGAGGCTATTAGGGATAAAAAAGAAATTATCCAGTAGTTGTATTAGAGGTAAAATAGTTGTTGAAATCTGTCAATTTAACTGGATTAAAAGTGAAAATTTTAAATCTGAGTGTTGTGCCCATAAATACAGTATAATGTAAAGAAATGATTTTTTACATAAGCAAAACCAGATTGAAATAATCATATATTTGTGTACACATGAACATTTGTTTTTATATGGTAAACATTGTGCTTGTTTTGGTCATAAAAACCAAAGTTCAAATGTTCAACAAAATTTCCCATTTGTTAAAGAGTAGTTTGTAAAATCATATGCTTTGTTCAATATAAAATGTGTATATATGTACATGTGTCAGAAGCACATTTTAACAGTGTATGTGTTGCTGCTGACTGAATGTGTGTGTGTGGGGGTGAAGCATATTAGTAGAAACGTCTGTGTGTGTGAGTGATAATACATGAAATCTGAATACAGTGGTTCCAAAAGGAAATGGAGATACAGATAGGTGATCAGACTTACATTTTTCCACAGCTATGAATATTTCTTTGAGTTGTGTGAATATTTCTTTGAATGGTGTGTACTTTGTCACTGATTGAGGTGTTGCCATGGTAACAAGAGAATTCTGGTCAGGTGATTACAGAACCAACCACCTGTCATTAATGGGTGATTCACATCCAGCTGCTGACTGGCTCTTTGCTTTGTGTGTTTTTATTGCCCCCTGAAATCGGTATATATAGTTATCCTGGTCACATGATTGGCTCCAAATGAAAGCTTTTTGGTTTACATGGGATAGCACCTAATTCATTTGGAGTTCAAGCATACAGACATAGTCAGAAGCATTGCATATTACTTTACTGTCCAATCAAATTCTAGAAACCAATTATTTAATTTTGGATCCTTTTTTTTTTTTTTTTTTTTACTAATTTGTACAAAATTTTTTGTTTTAGTGATTCTGATCCTATTTATGTGTATGTGTTTCCTACTTATTTGTTTTTTGCATATTGGTTATAAAATATAGGATTTTACATCCTATACAATCATGTTTTTGTTTTACCAACATCATATCTGCATCCAGTGTTTAACCATCTTTGTGAAACTTCAGGTGGCTGGATTTTGAATTTAGAATTGTTTTTCTCCTAGACTGGTTGCCAATCATGGCTAGACAGTCAAGGAAGAACAGCTGGATTTATAACTTTTACAAGGGTATTTGTATGAATGTGTAAGAAACTTGACCAGAATTCATACTCAGCCTCTTGATTTGTCTTTCCAAGCTGCTAACCATTACATCCATGCATATCCATCTGAACACTGTATAGTAAAAGTTTATACATGTATCTTACATACAATGAAAATTCATGTGTACCTTATAAACAGTGAAAATTTTTACAAGTATCTCCATTCTCAGTCTGTAAACTAACTTTTCATAATAGACATTTGTCAAGTAAAGATACTAAAACAATTCACCCAATAAAGAAATGAGCAATGTGAATACCTAAAAAGAACTTGTTTTTATTATCAGGTACAATATTTTTAAATGAATCGGTAGTCAGTAAATGAAAACAACTTTACCAATCACACTTAATATTGTCAGGGAATTATAACTCTATAATAAAAATATAAATAATTATAAACCCCCTGACTTTTATACATACAAAAATACCCATAAAATGAGAGACAGCAAGATGTGGAAATAATAAAATGAGTGTTATTTATTATCTGGTTTTTATGCAGTGTTGGAGAAACAAGAGATAGTAATAATGATTAAAATTGTAAGTTTGGGATCAAATGTAGATAACACTCTGACAGAATATGATAAAATAAAGAATAAGTGTCTACGTATGTTTTTTTTTTATAGATGTTGTAATGGGTGTTCCTATAATTTAGTGGAGAAAATACAAGTGTCTGTAGTTTTCTTATCTTGAATTTTTGTTGAATGCTAAGAGATAAATACTATTATGTCCTGAAAAAGGAAAAGAAGACTAAATTTTTGTTCATATACATGTTAACAGCCTGTCCATGTTGAATGCTTGTCTGATAATGAGAATGTCATATGTTTGTGTGAGTAGAGGAGAAAAGTGAATCAATTCCCATTGGTTTAGAATGAGTGAATTAATTATAATTGTTATAATTATTTTATTATAATTATTTTTGACACTACAATTAATTTTTATTTTTTCTGGTCGTGACACAGTGATAGTATAAACAATTTTTCTAATGTATGTCTTTATTGATACGACAATATATTGCATTTTGAAATTGTTCTGGAACTCGCTTCATTGATACATTTTGTATCAATTTAACTTTTACCACTTTGCATTATTAATATTACTTCCCTTTCTGTTGCATTCTTTTTTAAGGCCTCTTAAATGCAGTATCCTTAATGTTAATTTCACACAAAAGTTGTTTTCTGTTGCCATAGTAAGATATAACAACAAAAATATGAAATTCAAACACACTATTGTTCAAGGATCAGTCATCTTCAGTGGTAGCAAATGAAATCACATACAGAGTGATAAAGGTTAATAGTACCTGTGTCCGGTAACAGTTGTTAAAGTTAGTATATTAAATGTAACAATTATTCTGGGACATGTAGTATATATCCTTTTTTGGAAATAAGGTATTGTCCTGTAAGTTAATAATTTTTAATGATTATATGAAAATATACTTCATTCTTTGCTTATTTTTTTTTTAATTCTCTACTTGGTGTTCTCTTGTTATCATAACCTTTCATTGTGGGTTTCTCTATCAAAATAATTTTTTGTCAAAGATGTCTTTCTTTCAAATAATGTATAATCGCAATGTAATGCATCTAATTTCTTTTAATACAAATTTTAAATTTTCTTCTGTTTTAAGTATTATATTTAACTTTTAATGAACTACTGACTTTTTTCTTTTAGGAATTAAATGCTATCTCCAACTAAAGAACTTCATAAGTTTTGAATTTAAACAAAAAATGACTTGATGTAAGTTATATTTGAAAATCTAAATAACTTATCAATTTTTTAATACCAACATCAAAATGAATTTCAGCATCTTTACTCCTAGACCCTCCTTTGTATTCTTTATATTCTTATTTTCATTATTTTAACTCTAATACAACTATTAATTCTGTTTTATACCTTGGAAATAATTAGATTTTAAACTAAGCTAATTATCAAGTGATTCACTTAAAGTAAATATAGTTAAAATAATACAAAATGGTAATCTTGAAAAATGGAAGAAAAGTTGATAACAAAACATGTCCCACTAAAAATGAATAAATATTAGACTTAGCAACATGTCATAGTCAATCAATTAAAAAATACCATCTCATCAACAAAAATCTGGGCCAAGTGACTTCCTTATCCTAAAAAGATAAGTGTCATGGCTACAGATCAAAAAACTCATTGAAAACTGAAACTACATGCCTGCTTTTCTAAGTCAATATCTGCAATTGTTTTTCTCCTGCAAACTGTGCGTAACAACCATTACTGAAATGCACAATTTTTTTTCTGTATTAAACACGTTGGTTTTTTTATGAATACTTCAACACAACTGTTTACTATGAAATGATACATTATTAGTTATAATTATTCATAGATAGAAAATGTTGAAATTTTAAACTTTTCAATTATTTATTTTTTGTTTTTGAGATGTATCTGAATATATAGTCTAGCCAATTTAATTTTAAAAAAATATAACTATAATCAAAATAATTTGCTTTTTTATTTTCTCCATCACACTTCATATGCATAAATAATTACATCAACATAAATATAAATCTAGTCTAATGAAGTCCTAAGGGACAAAACATGGAAAGATTTTTTCACTTTGTCATTAATTTGCATAACATTTGGTTCTGGTATATAAAAATATATATCTCGTATTATACAATATATTTATATACAAAACATTTTTTTCTCACTTTAAACATTATTTTTAGTGGATACACATATTTGAGTAGGCATTCCATTTATTTTATTAAACGGTATACTTATTTATTTTGTCCACCAACTTGAACATTGAAGAAATCTTATTAAAGAAAATATGTGCCCTCTGGCAGGATTTGAACCTACGTCCCTGGTAAAAAAGAAAGTAGCATCTACTCAAATATGTGTATCTACTAAAAAATAACATTTAAAATTGTAAAATATGTCAGATTAATAAATAAAGTCTTCATTACTTCCTTAAAAAATATAAAACATTGTAAAAAGTATAAAAAATTTAAGTGGTAAATTTTACCACAATTATTGGAAGTTTACTTACTATATTAACTGCTGCAATGACTAATTGCCAACACCACTACAAAGTTAATGCATAACCATAGTTAATTTTTTTCATTGTACTTAACCAACTGACTTGCCTTTATTTGAACTTCTCAAAGACTTAGCTCTATATAGTCAATCACATAACTCCAAGGAATATTTCTTGTAACTTATCTGCTTTGACATTGGACATTTTGCCCAAGAACTTGGAGGAAGTTCTGTGCAGCACTCAGCCATTTGGGATACCAATTGTTGTTAATTATCTTTTCATTTTGAAGGTAAATAAGTTCAGATTAAAAGCATATTAATTTAAAAATGTATTCTTTTAAGAGGATTCCGCCTAGGCTATAAATCTTCTTGTATGATCAGTAGCTATCTTGCCATTCTCTGATGATGAATTAATCAATAAAGTTACATTCTATTCATATAAGCTACTGCATTATGTAACTATGTAGCTACTGGTATTTTCACAATTGAATTGTTCTTAGTTTTTAATATATTATGTTTTCTTTTTACGGTTGCAAGCAGGTCCATTTGCAAAGAGACTTTGTGCGGAAACGAAATTCCAGTCCAGTCACAATTCAGAGGAGATCAAAAACTTTCTCACTCAGAAAGATAGAGCATGATTTATCATCTGTCAGAATACTGCTGGGCTTCTTTTTTTTCTGAGATTTTCTCTTTGTACATTGCATGGCAACAGGTTTATTCATTCTTTCTGTTGTTTGATATTCATCATGGAATAAATCAAAATGACTTTCATAGTGTTTTTGATTTGATCTGTGTCAAATTTGAAAATTTTATTTGCTCAGCTGATTAACTCAGGCGAATACAAGTCAGAACACAGACTTTGAGAAAAGAAAATGTGGATTTAGGAAATATGATTTACTTCAAGGAGATGAACTCACTTGCTTTGTATAGTTACCAATGGTAATGGTAAAATTAGCAGTTTCCATGCAAAAGTCATTTGGACTTCATGGTAATGGTAAAATTAGTCATTTCCCTACAAGGAAATATTTGCCATTCATTGACACAGCAGCCAATACTGAAATTTATAAAATCTTTCACTGAAAACAATTTTTCAGGAAAATAGGTTTTTCAAGTTCACTAATTGTTACTGTTCTTTTCACTATTGATGGGAGTTTCTTTCCTTACCTTTTAATTGAAATAATGTGGAATGTCAACATCTTGATTATCATTATTTTCTCTTAGAGTCGCATATGCTATCCATTTTAGCTGTTGCTAGTACTCAGGTGATATAATTTCTGCTATTTGATACAGTTCTTTTTCATTCTGTAGCACCAGCCCACAATATTCAGACACATGGTCTTTGTCAAAACCATCAGGCTTTACTTGCTTAAAGTCTTTTTCAACCATTGATCTTAGGAAGCAGTTGTATACAGCTTAGATATTTTTAACAGTTTTGGCATGACATCCATATGAAAGTCTTGATGAGGCTTTTAAGAACATAACTTGAGTTTTCAGGTTGATATTTTGATTTTGTAGCTATGTCTGACATGGCCAATTCTATGTTCAATTTTCTTTGCTTTTCCCTTATACTAAATTTGATTGAGCAGTTAGTGTTACTGATGGTTTTCCAAGCGATTAAACTTTTCAAGTTCATTATTGGGCAAGAGAGTTAGATGTTATAGATGCTATATATTATATCTGTCCATCTGTGATTTTTTTAGTAACTATCTATAGTGTCTGATGAAGGGGTGTCTTCTTTAAGATTGATAGGACTCCTTTCTTTGAAACCATTTAAACCATTGATCAAAGAAAATGGTTGTGTACAGATGATAGTTCATACATTTCTGAATTAGTTGGATATCATGTATGATATGCATATGAAAGTTTAGATCTGACAAGGCTATTTAAGAACATGACTCAAATTTTTAGTTTAATATGTTGGTTTTGTATCATTTTATAGTGCTTGACAAAAGTACACATAATGCAACCTATCTAGTGTTCAATTTCTTCACTTCCTATACTAAATTTATAACATATCCAGATACCAAATCTAAAGTGTTTAGAATTTATCAATTCAACATTCTAATTTTTAATTCTAATTCTTAGACCACTTAAGCTTATGGCCACATTACATTGAGTCACCAGTTCCTATATGATCACTAAAATTAAGCATCATCAAGACCAGTCAGTACCTAGATGAGTGACCACCTGGGAATCCAAGGTGCTGTAAGCTTGTGTGGGTGGTGTAATGGATAATGGAGAGGTAATTTGCAATTGAAAGGCCAACCACTGGTGCCAAACAGTTACTTGGAGAATTAATACAACTCATTCTGCTAAGCCCGCAAATTTTGAAATACATCACTGATGATTTGAATGATTTTGATTTTATATTAATTCATTCACAAATAAAAAAAATGGCTAACATTGTTAACAATTAAATTCATCAAAAATGTAGTTACATTTAAGTTAATCTTTTCAGTAATATTGTCTTGAATAATTTTATTTTTAAAGTTTATAAATAAGTCAAAGTTGTATAAAAGATTAATGAAATCAGCAATCACAAAAATCCATCAGAAAAAACTCTTTTTAAGCAAGGCATTACATTTCCAGGTTTGTTTGGCCTCAATATTTTATTTTCTCACTATTTACAGATGGGATTGTAATAAACATTGCATCCAAAACAATTCTGTTTGCTAGTGAAACTAGTAACACAGAAATACTAGTACCAATAATAACAAATTTTTATTCTGTTACCTCTAAGTCAAGCAATGACTTCCAGAAGTGGCAAATGTGTAGGAGTTAATGCAGTCAATTCAATTATTTTTCCATCTCACTGGTAACAGAGGTTGGTAGTTAGGAATTGGCTTTGAAATCTAAGATTTTTGCTATTCATTTTTTTCATATTTACTTTCTTTATCTTATTGTTGCTTTTTTTTTTTTTTTTTTTTTTCACAAATTCTGAGAGTGAATATCTTCTGGTCATAAGTGAGAACCAAGAATAAAATGATTTCTGACATGACTAGAACTTGCATCCAATAACTTGCAAGAATTCAGCTTTCATAAATGATACTTTAACCAATTTGACTTCAAATTCAATAAAACAATAAATCTGCAGCCATATTGCTATGTTTCTACTCCAATTTTTCACTATATATTGTTTGTTGTCATTACCAATATGTGACTGAGACTAGAAGAGTACAAATTTAAAGCCATAATGTTATGTATACACACCATTTTATTTGTATGTTTTTGATTATGTCGCTTAAAAAAAATGAAGCCTAACAAATATATTGCTTGTTATATTGTATAATGACGAAAACATACATACATACATATATACATATATATATATATATATATATATATAGCTGGCCACTCATATTCGAGGATACCCATCTACTAGGATGGCTAGCCAATCCCTATTGCAGACACTTGCTCAGGTGCATTTATTTTTATTCAACACCCACAGAGCCTACCTGTGGTTTATACTGCAACTATGCTGAACAGACTTTTGTTACAGTTTCTAGGAAAGAACGTGTTATCTAGCATGATCAACAATTTGAACAAGGCCAGCACACCCAAGCCCTCAGCCACAATGACTTGTGACTTCATGCTAGCACAGCTATCAACAGCCCACAAGGGTTCTGTCTACCCAATTTCCCTCACAAGGCTTGGGTCAACTTGTGATATAGTTTTCAGACACTTTCCAAAGGTGTTGTATGCTGCAATTGACCCCTCCAATCTGATAACATTGCGCAAAGCAGCTACATAGATACATATATATATATATATATATATATATATATATATATATATACACACGCCGCACACACACACACACGTATGATGCAATGGATAAATTGTCTTCTAAATTACGCAAAAATGAAAATAGCATTAACATCTGATTTTAAAAGATATATTTACCAAAATTACACAAAATATCTTGAAATACTAAAGAGTAAATTTATTCAATAAAATCACCATTATCTTCAAACATGGCATCCAGACTACTTTGGAATCTCCTGCAACTCTTCTGGACAGTTGAATGCTGCCTTCAGTTCATCTTTGATATAATAAAGAATTTTATTGGCTTCTTGTTCAACTGCATCATAATCAAGCAGGTTGCAGTCTGGGGAGTTAGGTGGCCAGATGTGAGGGATAATGTGATCACAGAAAATTGCCTGACAGCTATGATTGGGTTCTGCTGCTTGTATAGTATAGTGCAATGTCCTGTTGCCAGACATAGGGTCTTCCAGCAGCCACCCTCTCCTCAAGGCACTTGATGTAGGCTCCCATGTTGCGTTATTGGAAAATGAATTGAGATATAACATCGCCATCACTAGTGACCATTCAAAAAAACTTTGTAATCACCATTACACTCATTCAATTTTTTCCAAATCCTCTGCACTGTCCTCAGATTACTTGTAATTTTGGTAAATATATCTGTCAAAATGATATTGATCAATAATTCCAGAACTTGATAATTATTAACTTTAAATTGATCTGAAATATTCACAGCATAATATTTGATCTATGTAATTAATATTGACCCCCTGAATTAAGTGCATTAACAGGGAGAGTTTGTTCAAAAATATATACTTATTGTCTGAAAAAGATGCTTTTTTCATCATGAGGCCAGAGACATATTTGAGAAAAGGATTGTTTTCTAGTGGCTCAATATTATTACAATAATATTTTTCTCCATTTAATTCCTTATAAATCTGAAGAAGAAAATATTTTTTCTTAAGCAAAACTACTTATATAGACACAACAAGCCAGTAAGTGTTTACTTTTGCAGCCAAGGCATTTTAGAATAACCCAAAATATGCAATAACAATAAGACTTCTAGGCTTGATTATGGAATGAATTAAAGCAAGCTTCAATTTCTGTATAATTAATTTGCATTAAACAGAGGTTCTTCTTTATTCTTCTTATTATTTATCAGCTGCTGGTAAATGTTTCTGCTTAATCAGTTCATTGCTAAATTACTTTAAAAGTTTTTTTCCCTCTCTGAAGAAGAAACTAAGAAAATAAAGGAAAGGAGTAACTAAAAGAACTTTAATAGGAAAACAAATAATTTAGAATAATTTTGATATTAAAGATATCGTCAATAATTGTGAATAATTTCATTGTAATTATAATCTGACTTCATATTTCTGATTATTTTCTTTGTGTGTTTATATCCAAAATAAAATTAAAATCAAGTCATGATTCATGACACTTTTCTTCATGGTGAACATTTTGTGAGCTATAATTCAGGACTACCAACTATTTAAAAAAAAAAAAAAAAATTATACTAAAGTTCACCTAATGCAAGCCTCAAGAGCCACTCAAAATAGAAGGTTACTGCTAAAATAGTATTGATGAATGAGATGTGTGATATGAACATAAAAGGAGGAAGTAGAAAGTGAAGATAAAGAGGATAAATAACAATTGATCTTTGACTTGAAGAGGTTCAGATTTTAGTGTTCATAGAAGCATCCATGCAGGAGTCTATACCACAAGGTAAGTTGTTTTTTTCCATAGAACTATCTAGGATTTTCTCTTTACATCTAGAATACAAGTAAATAAGGTCAGTTTGATTCCATGGTAGTAGGATGGCATGTCTTAGCATTAAAGTTCTGAACTGGTAGAAATAAAGAAAGGAGCTCATCTGAACATTTGCCAAGGAAATAGTGCTAGAGTATCAATAATCTTGCAACACTGCATTATGTTTAAGGGGCTGCAAAGTGAGAATAAGCTTTCCTTTAAAAGAATTTGTAAACGACAAACTCTTAGCAAGGCTGGAAAGCAAGAATTAAGTAGCTCCAGCCCAATATGGTAGTGATACTTTATGTCTGGTCACTTGTAAAGATAATACATGGCAGGAGGAGTCAGGTACATACTAAAGTGATAGGATAAGCTGATCATTTTTCCCAGTATTTTCAGCAGTGAATTGTCTATATGAGTTCCACATGAGGTCTGGAATAAACTTGAAATCCAATTCTAAGCATCAAGCTACATTGAGAATGCAATTGTTCATCATGACTGGAGAACAGTCAGGGTCTGATCAGTCATAATGAAAAGATATTAGCTGCTGTGAAGGTCATGTGACCAAGGACTACCTTTTCTAGGACAATCAGTTTGCAACACAGACTGACACACTGAATGCTTTTGTGATCTCTCCAAGAATGCATAAATTCTACAAATTCTGCATTCATTCAATTTGTCTGGGAGTTCCCAATACACACATTTATTACACAAAATATTTACTGTCTTCACCTACAGACGAGCAATAGAGATTCCGTCTAACACCCCACTAGAACAACACAACTAGACCAGATATAGACAACTGTTGCCTGTTGAGTTAGTCTTTCTCTTCTCTCTCTTCATTCCAACATTACAATACATGTATATATAACAGTGCAAAAGAAAATACACTAATAAAAAAATATATAGCTATATAAGTGCAACTACTTTATTATATGATGAGAGCAGGTGACTATCCTTCTTTGGATACTAATAATTTTGCTTAGATTTTACTTGTAAAAAACTCTACCTATGCCAAAAATTGATTGAAAAATGAAGATTACTTTTTTCTTGGTGTATTTTAAAAAAAAATAATTCTTAGAAATTTAACAACCAATTCCAGTCTTAATTCCTTCTTTTACCTTTGAAACCTGTCCTAAAATATCTTATTTGTTCTTTTTTTATAGTTAAAAAAAGAATAAAATACTGAAGATTAAAAATTAAGAAAAAAAAGTAATTATCTTTTTACTTTGGTGAACTACACCAATTCATTTAAATTTTTAAAAATCTATTTTTAAACCATGTTATCTATTAGTATATTCTATGAAATAGCATTCAGGGGTAACACCTACTTTCACTACCAATAGAATAGACCATCCTAAATAAACAGCGAGATTGATGGGATTTTAGAGAGAGAGAGCAAGATCTATTGAGAGATTATCATTGAAGTGAATCATTCTTCTGTGTGTGATGTCCTTTCAGGACTTTGGTGATCATGGCTCTCCCACTTTTTCTAGTTTTTAATAAATTTTTTCTCTTTTTTATTTCTCCTAAACCTTTTTCTGCTATCCATTCACACACACACTCATCAGGTAAGTAGTTGGCAGCCTTCTTCTGCCACTCTTGCCATCATGATACATACACCATGAGGGTTAACTTTTCCAAACCATCTTTCCTCATTTTGTCCAGAGAATTTCAGCTGTCTTTTCTGGGTTCTTGAGTA